GAGAGAGAGAGAGAGAAGGGGGTGGGGGGCTTATCAGGGCAGGAATATTCTTGACGGGAGATGAAAGGCTGCTGTTTTTGGGACCTGCTTCGATAGAATGCCGTAGAACTAGAAAGAGTTTTACCTCCAACATCCATCCGACATATTTTACATTATTGACGTGGTTGTTCATGTCAAGATCACTCCTTTTTGGCTGCAAAACCCCCAAGTATCTCATGTTAAATTCAGAGAACAAGCTAAGAAATGTAGTTCCAGAATAAGATGATATCCCTAACCCACTATTCTCTTGATATCTATAAACATTAAACGGTCCCTTATTGCTGGATAATTACTATCATGCCATCCAACTGAGGCATGCTTCTTTGTTTTTTATTATTATTAGTATTATTATTATTATTATTATTGTTATTGTTGTGCTGTTTATTGGAAGGAATGGTATTTACCTTCAATCCTGAATTGATGTATGTGGCTGCATCATTCAACTTGATGATTTTATCCGTGACATCCTCTTTGATTGCTTTCTTGTCGATGAACCATGGTGATATTTCTGCTCTCACTTCTTCAGGCATCTTAGATAGGCGCCTTGTGTTTTGGTTCATCATCACCCAAGTACTGTTCAATTGTTTCCATTGTGTTCAGCTTATACCTTCACTATACTGGTACTACGATAATACACACACACACACACACATATACATATATATATATATATATATACTATACTATACAAGTAGAGTACACCATTAGATTTTTTGGAGAGGTGTTGTTCTGGTGTCAGAAACCTTATAATAGCTTGACAATTCACATTTAATATAAAATTTAAAAACCAGTGTAGATCGAGTAGATTTATAAACATTTAAAATTATTGAAAATAGACGGTTCATAACTTTGTACAAAATACATTGTTTTTAGGACTTGAAATCTTTTGTTTCTTTATATTCATATATCTCAATCTTAATTTGAAGGTTTTCTAACTTTAATACACTCATTTTTGAAGTGCACCTTATTTCTATAGGATAAGTTTAAGTTTCCAACTTTATGGACAAGAGAGAGATACCTAGTTGCACGTGCAAATATATGTCCAGTCCGTTGGCTCTGAATAAGCCAATCTCTTCTCATTCCATTCTTTCCGGATGCTCCAACCCATGTGTCAATCTCCACAACTTCTCCCCTACCACACAAATGGCCTGATATTGAGATACACCTATATTACTTATTTTCCTTCACTCTTTATCACTCACATGCACATGGCTTGGGGTGGGTCATTGAGCTTGTATATGGATTGTATGTGGATGCATATGGTAATATTTATTGTTTTGCATTCACAATGCATTGGTTTATTTAATAGAAATTATAAATAATAAATCTTTGATAATTAATACTCCAATAGAGTAAGGATGGGCAGGGCCAGTCTTGGTCATTGTCCCCAAAAGCTTGGCCAGACTTGGTCATTGTCCCCAAAAGCTTGGCCCCGGCTTGGCACGACCCTACAGGGCTAGGGTGGGCCGGGCAGGGCTGAGTCAAAAACAAATCAAGAAAAAACAAAAGATGAGAAGAAAAAAAAAAGGGCTTGCTCGAACTGCGATGGCACTGGCCCTAGTTTGGCCCTCAGGCCCGCAACTTGCGGCCCAAACCTTTTTTTAGGGCTGGGCAGACATTTGCAGGCCGGGCTGCCTGGCCCATAGCCAGCCTTACAATAGCGTGACTTTAAAATATAAAAGATTGAAGCCCCGCCGTATTAGTTTAACTGGGGTGTTGTCAATCTTTTTTTTTAAAAAAAAAAAATTAATGACGTAAACGTATATTCCAATACCTAGGAAAGGGAGATTTGATGTATTCTCACGTTGGGGGTTCATGATTCTTCATATAGGCGGCTTATTTGTAGAGGGATACATGTTGGCGACTTTTCATGTTAGTGTGGATAACCTTGGTCTTTTGTCTGTGTATGTGAGAGAGAGAGAGGGAGAGCTAGAGCTTATATTGCTTTGTTTGTCTGATTGTTTGCTTATGGTGTTTTCAATGAACGAAAATCCGGATAGAGAGAGCTTATATTGCTTTGTTTTTGTCCGATGGTTTGCTTATGGTGTTTTCAGTGAACGAAAATTAGGCCGCCTTGCCGTAAGCGTCCTGGCTGACAAACCGCCTAGGCTATGCACACACATGTATACAAAAAAATACACATGGACCCATATGCTCAATCTTTACATGAAGGAAAAAAAAGACCATATGCTCAATCTTTACATGAAGGAAAAAAAAGACCTCAAGTGTTCGATGTTGAGGTTCCTCTCTCTCACGGTCTCTC